TTAGATTCAATGGACAGCTGGGAACGTAAAAATAGCGGGAAACGCAATTGACGTGTTAACACGTCATTGGCAGACAACGTTACTATTTAGTTTGACGTGTTAACACGTCAATGGCAGTCAATGAGTTAGATAATATGAAAATATAAATGAGAAAGAAAAACCAGCAACGCCAGGGCAAAGTGCCCAAAATAAAATATAAAGCGCTCTAAGGCGCACAGGTTCGTAAATCATTGAGAGGCATAGACATTACGTTTACTTTGATTTATTAAGTTGTGATAGTTCTCTTTAGGTTTCACGCGTTGTCACATTTCCTGTCGCAAAGGACTCAGGGGTACAGGTGAACAACACACAACGGAAACATACAACATGGTGAAAAACGAGAGACAGCAGGAGAAACAGCGGGAGAAACAGCGGGAGAAACAGCGGGAGAAACAGCGGTGGGCCGCGGTGTGGCCAGTCCTCAGCATTTCCACAGCCAACACTGAGCGCGCACTCTTGACGAGTAGCGGTTTACAGGCCCAGACCAACAGCCGGCTACGACGCACTCGGACCCCAGCAATGAGGGCGGCCAGACACCAAAGCGACTGGACAGTGTGGCCGTGCACAAAGAGGACTCGCGGGGCACAATGCCACACCGCGGCACTGGAGCAGGAGAAGGGCTGGCGCGACGACACACAAGAGACGGAAGTGCAGAGGTAAACAAAAGACGTAAATCTAGGCTATTTATACTGGGCGTAGGCGCCCTCTACTGGACAGAAATATGGTGGCCAAGTCCAGCTTGCCACATTTACAATCACATGTTTGCAGCTGTTCATTTTCAAAGAAATTCTTATCTTCCCTCTGGTGGTAGCATATGGAGTTACAGGCGCAGTAGTATTTACCCTTGGTACTTGTTTCATTATATTTTTAACGCAAAAATACAGTCCATCCATCCATCCATCCATCTTCTTCCGCTTCATCCGTTGCCGGGTCGCGGGGGCAGCAGTCTAAGCAGAGACGCCCAGACATCCCTATCCACACACACTTCCTCCAGCTCGTCCGGGGGGACCCCAAGGCGTTCCCAGGCCAGCTGAGAGACATAGTCCCTCCAGAGTGTCCTGGGTCTTCCCCGGGGCCTCCTCCCGGTGGGACGTGCCCGGAACACCTCCCCAGGGAGGCGTCCAGGAGGCATCCGGAACAGATGCCCGAGCCACCTCAACTGGTTCCTCTCGACGTGAAGAAGCAGCGGCTCTACTCCGAGCTCCTCCCGTGTGACTGAGCCCCGCACCCTATCTCTAAGGGAGCGCCCAGCCACTATGTGGAGGAAGCTCATTTCGACCGCTTGTATCCGCGATCTCGTTCTTTCCTCCCCACCCACCTGAAGAGGGCAAGGCACCTTTTTCCGGTCGAGCACCATGGCCTCAGATTTGGAGGTGCTGATTCTCATCCCAGCTGCTTCACACTCGGCTGCAAACCGCTCCAGTGCATGCTGCAGGTCCTGGTTCGTTAGAGCCAACAGGACGACATCATCCGCAAACAGCAGAGATGAAATCCTGTGGTCCCCGAACCGGACCCCCTCCGACCCCTGGCTGCGCCTCGGGGTCGAAAGCCAGGCGCAGTCGCAAAATACAGTCGTCCCTCACTATAGCAGTTTACTTTTTGTACCCTTTGCTGTTTTGCAGATTATATGTGTGCAACTTTTTGAGTATTAGTACTAGCATACCTTAACTGAAAGTCACAAAAAACGTTTTTTGTTTCTGTGCACCGCGATGATTAGAAGACCAGAGGACTACTGCGGTCTTTGAGTCAGTCAAGTAACTCACATTCCAACTTAAAGAAGAAGTACTATCAGAATCAGAATCATTTGTGTTGCCATGCAAGTAACAGGAATTCGCAATTTCCTAGTCTGTGACAGTTACTTACACGGCAATAAAAAGGATTCTGATTCTGATAATGCTTCTTCTTTCAGCTAGAATGTGAGGTTGATTATAACTTGGAGCACATCTGTTCAGTGAGGTTGTCTGTGCTGCATTAGAATATCCAGGACAATTATTGGAAGATGAATGATTGAATGAGTTATATGAAGGGGAAGAGGGAGGGCTGAGTGTGAAAGCCCCCTCTGTGTGTGGCTATGAGCAACCAGCTTTCGTGAAAAAGTAGGTCGTAATAGTCACAGGAAAGGGACAGGCTCGCCTCATACTGCTGCAGAGGTTGAAAGTCAAACATGGGGAGTCAGCGTCTTCCTGAAAATTTGAGACCAATCTCTATGTTGGCATGTTCTAGTCCACATTCAAACTATTTTGTTAAGTTGTGTTATGTGAATATTTGTGTTTCTTTTTTATTTAATGACCCGGAGGGGTCGGCCACCGAAATTAAACTAAATAGAAAAAAAGTTGATTTTTATAATTTTTTTAATTTGACTCTCCATAGCAGTATATACAGTAGTTGTGTGTTTTAAAAAAATATATATATATTTTTTTCATTTAAAGGAAAGGAAGGACAACAAACAAAAAAAACCAAGAAAAAACAAAACAAAAAAACAACAACACGAAAACGTTGCAAAAAAGGAAAATAAGTTACAATATATATATATATACACACACACTTAACCCCACTTTCCCTGAAGTCCCTGCTGAAAGACCAAGGCCGCATCTGCTTTGAAGAAACAGCCATCCTCCTGTGGACCCACCACCTGCAGGAGGATCAGTGAGGGACTGGTGCATTGTGTATTGGGTGGCAGCTCTGATTGCCACTCCCCTGACCCAGAAATGGAAATAAAGGGATGAAAATGATGATGATGATCAGAACACTAGTATTCATATTGAGATAATCATATACATAGGTTATAGTTTTTCCTTTTAGCACAGCAGTTTTAATTATCATACTGTCAAACGTACTTAATTTTGCAGCCACTTTATAATATGTGATGGAGTTTAGATAGCTTCTAATTTGTAAATAATGGAAAAAATGATTCTGTGAAAGCTTACTTTGTTATTTTTAGTTGCTGGAAGGATTTTAACATGTTCTCATAAAGATCCAAGGTATTTACAATTCCAGCTTCCCTCCATTCTCTTAATCCGACATCATCACATGTCAATTTGAAATCTGGGTTATTATCTATTGGTGCCAAAAATGAATAATTATCAATACCAAGATATTTATGAATAGTAGTTGTGTTTTAATAGCAGAAGTAGTTCAGCTGTTAGCATCAGCAGTACAGCAAACTGTCAAATTATTGTGATTTTTCATGGACACTGATGAGGGGAATCTGCTCTTCCCCCACCCCTCTCCCCTCTGCCCACTGCCCCTTGACCCTGTCCCTCCCTGGGCTTGTGTGACATGCCATAGTCCTGGGGGTCTCATTAGGAAGCCCTTCTCCTGCAGATAAAGTGGGTGCTTCGTGTCAGAGGGGGTCTAAAGCTGGTGTCCGGATGGTACCGTTAAACCCCCTTCACTCTGGGCTGATATGATGCGACCTAAATACAGTTTGTATCGTACTGTAATTTCTGAGCAGCAAGAAGGTGGTGGTGGATTTGTTCTCTGACCTGAAGGGCCTCTCTATACAGGTCCTCTCTGGTTCAGAAGTCTCACAATGACATAAGAGGAGTAGGCCAGACAAGCTTGGTGGTCATTGTGTGGTCCAAGGCATACACCATGATCATATATGATTAGAAAACACGCAAAAGTATTCAAAAGAAGTACATTTTTCAGTCTTTTCGATGAAGTCAGGAAGGATATAATGGAAGGTTCACTCCAAAAGGTCCAAAGCTCACTCCTCCCTCTTAGGCCAGGACGAAAGTATAAATTGGTACACTTTGGTATCTGCATTTATCAGACCATCTCCTTTCTGATAAGGTAACAATAACTTACCATATACTTGCTCCTTTTTATGCTAATATCTGGGGTTTTTGTACTTGAGTCTTGCTTCGTCATCATACTAAAATTGGAGATTTATAATGCTTCTTAGAGATTTTATTTTAGTATAGTATAGAGTCATTATTCATTTATCTTGAGCTGTGTGTTCCTCATTCCTACTGTCTGTAACTTGTAATGCAACAGTGAAATTTACCCACAAATAAAAGATCTCTTAATCCTAATCTTAATTTCTGGATGAATTCTAAAGGCTGAAACGCTCAAATGGCAATACTTTTTAATCTGACCAACCTCACTGGATTATGGGCCTTAAAATATCTTGGAGGCCAACTCCACTCATCCCAGGTCAAAATAATCTGACAAATTTTATAGAATGTTTATTTGGCAGGGACACTGCACTACTATTGATACTGTTTCTTGATTGTCACTTTTTAATGGCCCCTTTTTTTGTACATATTTAACATGTTTGCACATTTCTTTCTTTTGCACAATCTTGAGTGATTCAATCCCTGCCAGATGTGAGATGTAAATTTCTCCTGTGTGAGATCAATAAAGTCTATTTTATCTTATCTTATCTTATCAACACATCCCTCTGGATTGTAAGCATTGGACTACTATCCATCCACTATCCGACACTCACAATAAATCTGAACCACTGAACATGGCTTTAGTGGTTGCTTCTTCAGGACAACTTAGAGAAAACATAAAAATAAGTGAGAAATGTCAAGTTTAAAAAAGAAGGAGGACCCAAAATTCAATACTGCAAAAATAATATAATTTATTAGATAAGAATCCAAAAGAAGGACAAACTGGGGAAGATGATACACAGGAAGAAACACAACACACTGACAAGAGGGAAAAAGCAGAAGGAATTTAACTGGCAGACACAGGTGTGGCACCTCAGGGCGGGGCAGGCAATCAACAGAACAGGAAGTAAAACTCAAAAAAATAAATAAAAAATAAAAATAACTCAGTGGAACAGATAATGCAATAAAACAGGAACGAACCATGACAACCAAGAACATGCAAACTCCATGCAGAAAGGCCTTGTCTGGTCTGCAGTGCAAACGCCCTGGGACCGCTCTCCAGATGTTGATGCTCTTGATCCCATGCGTGTTTTGGGGGCCTAAAGGACGCCCACCAAGATGTTACGGGCCCCAAGCTGTGGGGTTGCCGTAGCAGTAATAGTAATCTGTTAGAAAGGAAAAAGAAGACAGGAGGCAGTGAGTTTGTTGTTGACGCAGCCTCGCTTCATAGTATCACTTTAATACAAAAATCTAATACATTTACATATTTAGTCTGTCTGATCAACAAACATATTCAACTGTCTGACAACACACATGACCAAACAGAAATAAGTAATCATCAATACCGTTTCTGTAGCTTTCTACATTGTACACAAGCCAATACTTGAATAGCTAATACTTGTTTGAAATCGTGTTCCTACTACGGCTTGACCTGCTTATTAATCCTTTTTATTTATACACAAAACTGAACATTAGGAAAATGTTTATACTGTCTCAAAAATCTTAAACAGCCTTTTTAAACTGGAACCATTTAGCAAAACATTGGATAATGCACTTTTGTGAACCATTTAGCAAAACATTGGGATAATGCACTTTTGTGAACCATTTAGCCAAACATTGGGATAATGCACTTTTGTGAGTGCAAGTCAAGAGCGGGGGCGCCGCCATTACCCGAACTCGTGCCCACGCGTATAGCACGACTGAATACATTAATTACATCTTATCTTGTTACAAACCGCTCGAAAAATTGGCTATCTCTAACCACATCATACCTTACATGTATGTGTTATTTAAGCATGGGCTTAGAACCGTATTACCTGTTAGAAAGGAAAAAGAAGACAGGAGGCAGTGAGTTTGTTGTTGACGCAGCCTCGCTTCATAGTATGAAGGGAAGTTGCCAACGTGTTGGCAAGAAGGTCCCGCCAGGCGGACCCACAGCCTGCTCCCCACAATGCCCCCTTGTGGCGCACCCCATAATTGCTATCCCTTAATAAGTCGTTCCCAGGTTTCTCCATTAAAAATAAATAAATTGACTCTCAATTTTAAATAACATAAAATATGTGACCATACATTTTGTGTATGTCACACACTCCCCAACATAAGAGGTGGCTCCCGACACTTACAATACCAAATTTATGAGTCACAAAAATAATAATTACTAGTTATAACCACAATAACCATACCCAAAGAGTCTGTCTACCTTCAATACACAAAACTAGGCATTGCATAAGGCACTGTTATTGTATGGGGCACAGTCTGATAAGGCATATAAGGATTTACTTGCCACGGTTGCATTCCCCATACTGGCAATGTTTGTACTCCACACAGTCCAACATGACCCACAATCCCCTGCGGCTGGTAAGAAGGCTGGCCCAGGGCGTTGTAGGTAAGGGTCTGCGGTGGTCTCCTCGTTCGTGCTGATCTCCGAAAGGAAATATCCTGTGTCGGCACTTGTTCTGCATCTTCCGAGTCCATTCCAGGTTCGACTTGTTCAGTGTCTCTTTCAAATTCTTGTTCTCCTAAGTCATAGTCATATTCAGGGTTTTGTACAACTTCATCTGCACTTGGACACTGATCCTCGGTTGACACATTTCCATCTGCCGTGTTTGGAGGTGAGTGTCTTGCTTGCTCCGTGGGAGTGAACACTTCACCTGTTGGATGAGTTTGAGTGACTGGTCTCTGCGGTCTGGCCACTACTGGAACCCGGAGCCAATAACGTCTCTCGGAGTCCCTTTCAGAATCTGAAGTGTCACTGTCTCTGTTGCTTTGGCTGGCTCTGTGAGTTTTGACTCTGGTCTTCGTAGGTACTCTGTCTGTTTCCTGACCTTTGGTAACAGGTAAGTCGTTTACGAGGTGGAGGAGGTTTCTGTGGAGCACCCTGATTTTCTGTGCATTGTTCTCAGGAAATACCTTGTAAACAGGGCTGTCATTAACTTGTTCTTTGACAATATACACTGTCTGCTCCCAGTATGACCTGAGCTTTCCTGGTCCTCCCCTTTCACCAAGGTTACGGACTAACACTCTATCACCGGGCTCTAAAACAACCCCTCTCACACGTTGGTCATAGTATTTCTTTCCACGAGCACTGGACTGCTGGCTGTTAGTCGCAATACGGTAAGCTTCCTTCATTCTCTTTGCCCACTTCTGCAAATAACCCTGCGGTGTTTCACTCTCTTTCACAGTTTTGAGTCCAAACAAGAGGTCCACAGGTAGGCGGGGGTGGCGCCCAAACATTAAGAAGTGTGGAGAAAATCCTGTGGCCTCATGTTTTGTGCAATTATATGCATGAACAACCTGTGGCAAAAAGTCTTTCCAGTTGTTTTTCTCCTTCTCTTCGAGTGTTCTCAACATTTGCAGCAGGGTGCGGTTAAATCGCTCAGCAGGGTTTCCCTGTGGGTGGTACGGCGTTGTACGGGAGCGGCTAACACCTGACAGTTGCTGGAGGCCCCTAAACAGTCCATTCTCGAACTCACGGCCTTGGTCGTGGTGTAGCCTGCCGGGGTAACCAAAGCGAGGGATGAAATCACTGTACAGTTTCTCTGCTGCCGTTCTTGCAGACTTATTTCTGGTTGGCCACGCTTGAGCGAAGCGTGTAAAGTGGTCAACTGCAACTAGTATGTATTCGTAACCACCTCTGCTCTTTTCTAAATGCATGTAGTCAATAGATACCAGCTCCATGGGCGCACTGGTACTGATGTTGCCCATGGGTGCTCTCACATGTGTAGCAGGTTTCTTTTGTTTTATACAGGGACACTTTCTAGTTACATAGGCCTCAATGTCCTTTTTCATAAAGGGCCAGTAGAAGCGGTCTCGGGCCAGGCTGATAACTCGTTCGGCACCGAGGTGACCCATGTCGTTATGCAGGTGTTTTAGCACTAGAGGCCTGTACTCTGCTGGCAGTACTAGCTGCTGTCTGCCTCCAGCCTCCCTGTACAGCAAGTCATTCTCAATGTGCAGTTTTCCCCACTCACGCATTAGTCTCTTCACTAACCCATCTGCGTTCCGCCTGTCTTTGTCAGTTAGTGTTGTCTTTGTCTCTTTTAACGTGAGAAGTTCTTTAATTGTCACATCTTGTCTTTGTGCTCTCACTAGCTCTTTGTGGCTGATGCTAGGTAAAGCTGACCTGTCTGTTTCAGTGTCTTGGGCTAGGTTTAAGGCAGCTACATAGGCAACGTCGCTTTTCTTGGCTGCTTCACTACCTTCCCATGTTGCACAAACAATGTCTCTGCTAAGCTCCTCTGTGCACTCCCCTACATAACTGTCAATGTCCAGAGGGAGGCGTGACAGAGTGTCAGCATCCACATTAACTTTACCAGGTCTGTACTTGATGTTAAATCTGAAATCGGCAAGCTCTCCCACCCACCTATGTCCCGTGGCGTTTAACTTTGCAGTGCTCATTACATATGTCAGGGGATTATTGTCTGTATATATCGTAAAATCTGGAGCATAAAACAAATAATCTCTGAACTTTTCGCAGACGGCCCATTTAAGGGCCAAGAACTCCAACTTGCCGGAATGCAGGCAATAGTTTTTTTCGGCTGGGGTCAGAGTTCTTGAGCCATATGCAATGACTTTCAATTTTCCACACTGTCTTTGGTATAACACGGCACCGAGCCCCTTCTCGCAGGCATCTGTGTGCAGGACAAACGGCAGTTCGAAGTCGGGGTATGCGAGCACAGGTGGATTGGAGAGAATGTCAATGAGCTGGTTTAGAGTGCAGTCGTGCACACCTGCCCAGTGGATAGGAGTCTTTGAGTGCAGCTGGGCACCTTTTCCTTTCTTTGACTTGATCTGTATGTTCTCAGTGCTCCCTTTGACTTGTAGAAGGTTGTACAAAGGTTTTGCGATTCTGGAAAAATCTTGAATATAGATGCGATAATAACTTAAGAATCCAAGTAGTTTTCTTAACTCACCCACAGTAGTTGGTTTCTTTTGGCTGAGTGACTTGACCGCTTCAATGTCCTTTGGATCGACTCGAACTCCATCTGCGGAGACCAGCCTACCCACATATCTGACCTCTGCCTTAAACAACTCACATTTTGTTGGGCGGAGCTTGACTCCGTGTTGTTGAAGAGCTCTCAGGACTTTGCGCAGCGCCTCGACATGTTCAGCAAAATCTGTTGAGTAGCAAAGGATATCATCGAGGTATGGAATACAACAGTCATCACGCAGGGTGTTAAGCATCTCCTCCATACTGCGCTGGAAGGCAGCAGGCGCGTTACTGAGGCCAAAGGGGATCCTCACCCACTCATACAGTCCCCAGGGTGAGATGAAGGCGGTCATATGGCGGGACCCCTCGGCCATGTACCCCTGGTGGTAAGCTTTACCTTGGTCGAGAATGCTGAACCAGCTGTGGCCGCCAAGCGTGTCAAGGAGATCTTGGATACGTGGAAGTGGGTGGCGGTCGGGCACAGTTTTCTGGTTTAACAGTCTGTAATCAATACAAAGTCTTAACGTGCCATCTCGCTTCCTCACACATACGACAGGTGCAGAAAAGGGTGACTTTGACTTTACTATCCAGCCTTTAGCAAGCAAGTCCTGAATGTATTCTTTGACTTCTTTGTACAATGGCTTAGGGATAGATGTGTATGTGCGCTGGACTGGAATATCATCTTTCAGATTGAGAGTCATTTGTAAACTTGGAATGTTCCCTATGTCACCATCATCTCGGGCAAAAGCACTTGATTCCTCAAATAGCATTTGTTCAACTTCACTCTGTTGCTCTGGTGTAAGGTGACTTATGTCCACGGGGGGGTGCCAGTGAGCTGCGTTTGATGGCTTCTGGTCTTCACTGGACTTGGGCACAGAGTCAACAGTGTGGATGGAGACTGGTACTGGTTCACAAGTATCTTTTGGATTGTCTGTCTCAACAAGTTTGGCAATGGGCTCAACCGAACCCACAACTAGTGAGCTGGGTAGAGTCACACTTTGTTTGGAGTAGTTTGACACAGGTACTTTGACATAAGGCCTGTCTGTCTTTTCGATCTGCAAAAGTCCTGCTCCAACACTAAGCTGTTCTAGGTGGATGTCATTTAGCACTGGCTCAAACAAAACAAATGACTCCGTAGCGCTAATAATACTCTCTGGGACTCTACACTTAACATAAGCGACTTGACTAGGGTAGATGGTGATACCTTTAAAGCCCACTTTTACAGCAGCTGATTCATCTACAGAGCGCTTTTGTGTCTGGATAAAGCTTACCAAAGCGCTTACAGCAGTAACGTCAATCCCCATAGCTCTACCAATAAGCTCAATAAGTTTGTAGTTACCTCCATTGTCTTTAATGAACTCATAGATCACGTTAAAGCCTACAATGGGTCTGTCAATCTTAAGGCGGCTCACAAGGAAAGGTACGCGTATAGATAGGTCTGGGTCATTGTTGCCCTCTAGGTTAACAACTACCTCTACCCACCCGTCATAAGGTACTGAATCCCCTGTGACTGCTTTCACGTTGAGCTCATCGTCCATCAGCTCACTTAAAGGCCTAACCTGTTGCCCGGGTAAGTACTTATTTAGCCAAGCATGGTCTAAAAGGCTGACCCCCGCCCCCGTGTCTAGCACTGCTGTTATCAGGTAACCGGCCATCATGCATTTGAGAAGGGATTGGCGACCTACTAACGGAGCTACTAAACCACGTGGTGTCTCCTTATTGACATTCTCTTGTGAACTGGCATTATCAGTCTTTTGGTCGTATTTTGTTTTGGACTTTTTCTTATAGTGGGACTGCTGCGGTTTGTCGGTCAAGGGTGGTCCCTCTGCCCTGACCGTCTCCAGTTTCCCGACGACTTGGTCCTCTTCAGGCACCCGACGGCGCGATGCCCTTCCTCTCCGCAGACAAAGCAGTGGTTACAGTTCGGATTGGACTGGGAAGCACAGTTTTGGCAGCTCTTTCTTTCTCGTGGTTTTCTCTCTGATTGAGGTTTTAGGTCTCTCTGTTCAGGAGCTGTTATTGCTTTCAAACTCTCCATAGCTCGGGTGAGTGCTTCAACCTGAGCGCTTAGTCTTTGGAGTGTAAAGTCTTTGTCGATTTGGTTCACTTTCACATTGTCCTTTGCTTTCTCTTTGGAATCCGTGTTGGTTGCATGGGCATGACTTACTTTAGGTGTAGAGCTGCGGCCAAATCTGCGCTTTCTCTCGCTTTCTTCAGTTGTAGTCTTTATTACTTGGCGGAGCAGTGCCTCATCACTAACAGTGGGATCGCCTAAGAGGGTTTTTAAATCTCGGCGGACACTGTCGTACTTCTCCCCTATGCCCTGACCAATAGTGTTGAGGAAGATACACTGGATTGTGGACATCTCATACTTAACAACTGAGTCTGGCTGCTTTAGTGAAAACAGGATCTTTTGTTTCAGTCCTATCATTCTGTATAAGAACTGCTGAGGTGTCTCACTCTCATGCTGTTTGGCACACATCAAATCTTGGAAGAGCTCTGTGCTACTCTTTTCACCTAAGTGAGACTGCAAGAAACTTTTGAGCTCAGAGACGGTGAGATCGTCTTTTATTGTTAGCATATCTCGAAAGTTACCTGGTTTAATGGCACGTAACACTCCCCTGATTACTTCATTTTGTGTGTGATTCTCTTTGAGACCCTCCTCTATTTGTCTGCAGATGCTATTGTAACTTAATTCAGATGTTGTGTCATTTATCGTTCCCCCATGTATTTTGAATTCTTTGCGGGACAGCAGCGGCAAGTCTTTCATGGCTATCATACTCTGACCAGTGTGACTTGGAACGCTCTCTGAGTGCAGGAGAGAGTGCTGGGGTGAGTAACACTGTTGGGTGGTCTCACGAGTGGGAAAGCCCCTTGTAGCTGAGGCCTGAGTTGTCTGCTGGTTGAGGGAGTGACTGGCACGAGCTGGTGGTGGAGAAAGTCTCTCTGGGTCCGGGGAGATTGTGGCGGACAGGGTTTGGTTTAGCTGCGCTTGAATACTGTCATAACGGGCAAGTAAAGTCTGTATATCTGTGTCACTAGTGCCCTCCGGCTGGACAGGGTTAATGGCCTGACCACTAGTACTTGCTTCAGCTGCTAAGGACACTGGCTCTTGACCACGACTTACTATAGCCCCATCTATGATGCGCTCAAGTCTCTTCAATAACGGTAAACCCTGGTCCTCCCGGCCCAGGATTGCTTCACATGTCAGGTAGTTGGTAAGATATTCAACACAACTTTCTTCATCATCTTGACTCAACTGACTGAAATCCAGCCCGTCAACGTTTCCAAGGGAAGTTGCGATGAGGTGGGCTTCACTAGCTGTCAACTGGTGCAACTTCTTCTTAATGCTCCAAAGTAGTTGTTTTCTCTCGCCGGACGCCATCTTGCTGGTCTCGGACGCTTGGGTTCGCAGTTTCGCACTCTGTAGGCTCGTGCACCTCTTCACCGGTCACTAGCCTCTCTGCTGCACACTGGATCACCCCTGGCTCCGGGAACATGCAGTGCTGGAGGTCCTGGCATTCAGTATCACTGGATCAGCAGCGGCCCATGGACGTTTGGCGTGCTGATCCCGGACGAGCCCCCACGATGTTACGGGCCCCAAGCTGTGGGGTTGCCGTAGCAGTAATAGTAATCTGTTAGAAAGGAAAAAGAAGACAGGAGGCAGTGAGTTTGTTGTTGACGCAGCCTCGCTTCATAGTATCACTTTAATACAAAAATCTAATACATTTACATATTTAGTCTGTCTGATCAACAAACATATTCGACTGTCTGACAACACACATGACCAAACAGAAATAAGTAATCATCAATACCGTTTCTGTAGCTTTCTACATTGTACACAAGCCAATACTTGAATAGCTAATACTTGTTTGAAATCGTGTTCCTACTACGGCTTGACCTGCTTATTAATCCTTTTATTTATACCCAAAACTGAACATTAGGAAAATGTTTATACTGTCTCAAAAATCTTAAACAGCCTTTTTAAACTGGAACCATTTAGCAAAACATTGGGATAATGCACTTTTGTGAACCATTTAGCAAAACATTGGGATAATGCACTTTTGTGAACCATTTAGCCAAACATTGGGATAATGCACTTTTGTGAGTGCAAGTCAAGAGCGGGGGCGCCGCCATTACCCGAACTCGTGCCCACGCGTATAGCACGACTGAATACATTAATTACATCTTATCTTGTTACAAACCGCTCGAAAAATTGGCTATCTCTAACCACATCATACCTTACATGTATGTGTTATTTAAGCATGGGCTTAGAACCGTATTACCTGTTAGAAAGGAAAAAGAAGACAGGAGGCAGTGAGTTTGTTGTTGACGCAGCCTCGCTTCATAGTATGAAGGGAAGTTGCCAACGTGTTGGCAAGAAGGTCCCGCCAGGCGGACCCACAGCCTGCTCCCCACAATGCCCCCTTGTGGCGCACCCCATAATTGCTATCCCTCAATAAGTCGTTCCCAGGTTTCTCCATTAAAAATAAATAAATTGACTCTCAATTTTAAATAACATAAAATATGTGACCATACATTTTGTGTATGTCACAAAGACATGGGGAGAAACATGTAAACTGGGCCTGAACAGGAATCGAATCCACCACTTTCTTGCTCTGAGGGAAGATTAATCCTCACTTCGTCACTCTTATCAAAACTCTATATATGCAGAAAAAAATAAATAACAAAATAACAAAAAGAGAAGCAACAATATTGTCTCAATTGTTTCATACTGATACAGAAAATATGATCAAGGACATGACCAGTCCAGACAATAGTTAATCCTTGACCCCTTTCCTGTAACCACCACCCCCTCCAGCTCCATCGTTCCCTTCTGCGTTACCCCTAATGAGACGTGAGGCCTCTGAACTCAACGTCCGGCTAAATATTGCAAAGATTGGCGCTGCACTTTACTGGTGTGGCTAAGTGTGCTCTATTATATCTCTAACGCACCATCACCCTTTGTCACACCGTCTTAGGCCTGCGTGGGAATGGAACCACAGAGCAGGGAGCAAGGCTGCACGGATCGCCTGGGGAATGTTCTTAAAGACGGGCCTGCGCTGGGCTCTTATGTCAGCTGAAGTATAGGCTGTAATCAGATTAAAGGAGCCAGTGTAAGGGTGCAGAATCGAGGCTGTTAGAGCCAGCTGATGCTTCCTACATGACAAGGAGATGGACCAAGCAAATGGGCCAACAGCAAATGGAACGGCTGAGAACTTTCTGGAGTTCAGTGCAGAAGATTTGACAAAGTTTCAATGCGAGTTTGAGCCATGACGAGGCAAGAATGTCCTGTCGAGTTCAGATCTCTGCTGATGTGTGCGCACGTCCTCCCTGTGTTATTGTGGAAGAG